AGCTTTATGTCAGCTTCACTTCTAGGAAAACAGAAGACTAAGGACATTTCTTTTTACTCCGAAAAGTGAGGCCACCAGGACATACATGTGGACTTTTGTCCCAGGCATGACAAGCGGCAGAGAGGCCATCTCCCGTGTGGTTACTGCCATCAAGGAGCTAACACTGGTTGCGGAGACAAGAGGGACATTCCTGAGAACAAGGGCGTGTAGATCAATGGTGCTGAGTAAGAGGTGTGGCTCAGGTGGAGCCCGGGACCAGAGGCACCCGAGTCGGCGGACCACAGTCACGGTGAGCAGGCACGTCAGGGGGCCAAAGGAGAAATGAGTAGCCTTAAGAGCCCAAGGACCCTCTTTATCTGCTAGAGGCCCGAAGCATGAAATTCGTGCGAGGGGCTCGGCCCTCGCAGCCCTGGCTTCATCCAAAAAGTCATCCAGAATGATGTCCGGAAGGTCATTCAGTTGTCCAGCCTGATTAGCATATTATGCTTTTATGGTCATAGATTGTGTGTCAAGGTATAAATGACATTAAGATGCATGTATTTAAGGTGTGCAACATAATGTTTTGATATACATTGTGAGATGATCGGCACACTCAACCTAATTAACATCCATCACTTCACATATTACCATTTGAGTGTGTGTGTGTGTGTGTGTGTGTGTGTGTGTGTGTGTGTGATGAGAACACTAAAGATCTACCCACTTCGAAGATTAAGTACCAGACACAGTGTTGTTCACGACAGCCACCTTGCTGTGCGCCGGATATTCAGATCTTACTCACCTGGCACAGAAGCTGTACCCCATCAAGCAGCATTGCCACTCCCCAGCTCCCTTCCCCGGCCCCTGGCAAACACCACTTGACTCTCTGCTGCTGTGAGTTTGACTAGATTCTACACACAAGTGAGATCTGGCAGATTTTGAGTTTGCCTGGCTCATGTCACCTAGCATAATGTCCTCCAGTTTCATCCATGCTGTCACCAGTGCAAGATTCCCTTCTCCTTTAGGGTGAATAATATGCCAGTGTGTGTGTGTGTGTGTGTGTGTGTGTGTGTGTGTGTATACTTTAATAATCTATAATAAGAGCATAATATGCATATCTTCCCAGCAGCTGAAAAGCAGAACAATCTTCGGATGCAGCCGGGGCTACGAGGGTGGCCGGGCAGTTTCTGCCCCGGCGCACGGTGGGCTGGGTGGCCAGAGCCTCTGTTGGAAGTCTGGGGCGTCCTCCTTCGCTTTGGACCTGGTGTCCCCGGGCTGGTTTCCAGAGGCCTGGGAAATCACTCGGCGTGATGGGAGGGTCCGTGTGCTGTAGTGAAGACAGCTCGAGGCCACGTGAGCACGTTTCGGGCGGGGAGGGGGGGAGGGAAGGGGGAAGGGTGAATAGGGGGTAGGGAGTGTAGTCGGGCTCAGCAGTCTCCGCTGGATGAAGCCGGAGAGACTTACTTTAACAACAGGCAGGTGAATGCCTCTGTCAGCTGGTCTGTGTGTGAAGACGATGGGGTTGCATTTGTGTGTGAAAACTATGAGGTCTCTGAACGATCACCCCTAATCTAACTCCACGGGGGGGTGCGTCTTAATGACTCCCGTCCTCCGGCTCCCTGGCAATGCCGGAAGCGCGCCCTGCACGGAATTAAGTGATCTCCGGATACATTTTAAATCGTCTGGGTTCCTTCCGCCCTCGCAGCTCTCCCCTCTAATCACGCCATTTGTTCCTCGTTGAATGTTTACTCCCACCGCTGTGTTGTCAGAGCCCCATTGGGGGAGAAAAAGAAGGAAAATATCCTAAAAATCCAGCCTATTCCTAGCTGAGATGTAAATTACTCTCAGAGTACTTGGCATTTTGGAAAATGTGCTGCGATGGTATTGAAAAACCAAAAGCGCAAAGATCAAGTTGCCCTTGGTTTTTGCAGAGAAAGGCTCAGAAGCCGTGGGGGGAGATGCTTGTCAGACCATGCCCGGCTGGGTGGAAGCAAGGGCCCTTCTGTCGTGGTGAGAGTCCTGCTTCCGATGGCAGCCCCAGAAGCTTTCTGAGAACTGCTGCTCAGAGGAGCTGACCAAACAGCTTTGCTGTGTGTCCCCGGCTCACGCTGGGTCGCTCTGGTCTCGCTGTAACACTCGGGCCGTTGCTTTCTGTGGGAGCTCTCCCACCCTGGGTGTCCAGCTCACGCTGAGGCGAAGCAGTGACCACACTGACCTCTACCAGCGATCTCCCCCGCACCCCCCCAGACTCTCAGGAGACAGGGATGATTCGATGAGACAAATACAGCATTGTGTGTGTGTGTGTGTGTGTGTGTGTGTGTGCGCGCGTGCGCATGTGTGAGCGAGGAGACATATCCAAAACATACTTATAAAGGAGTATTTAGTAAACAGGATTATCTAAACAAATGGCAAACAGATGCATGAAAAGATGTTCAACATAGCCCTCGCCGGTCTGGCTCAGTGGATAGAGTGTCGGTCTGCAGACTCAAGGGTCCCAGGTTCGATTCTGGTCAAGGGCATGTACCTTGGTTTCGGGCACATCCCCAGTGGGGAGTGTGCAGGAGGCAGCTGATCGATGTTTCTAACTTTCTATCCCTCTCCCTTCCACTCTGTAAGAAATCAATAAAATTCGTTTTTAAAAAAGAGGCTCAACATCACTAACCATCAGGGAAATGCAAATCAAAACCACCGAGAGATACCACTTCACACTTGGTAGGATGCCTGTCAACAAAAAGACCAAAGATGACAAGCGTTGGTGAGAAGATGAGGAGGAACAGAGTCCTCGTGCACAGTGGGTAGGAGTGAAGATGAGCACAGCCAGATGGAAAACAACATGGAGGTTGCATACAACATTTAAAATTAGACGGACCATATGATCCAGCCAGCTCCGCCCGGCGGACACAGACGCGCCTGGGAGTGTGGACTCTGGAAGATGAGCAACTCGGGGCTGGACCCCAATTTTACCACTTCATGACCTTAACAAAGCTACTGAGTCCCTTGCTCCCACACAGCCCTGGGCCTTGATGGAGACACCCTCTACCTTAGCAAGTGGCAGTGAGGACCGAGGAAGTCCTGGTCCACGCCAGCACTCAGCGCGGCTCCTGGCTCGCAGTCTCACCAGTGCCCACTCTCATTCCTCTTCTATTTCCCTCAGTTCCCTCTCCTTGCGCGCCCTTGCTGGAGGAGCTTGGGAGCGTGAGCTAAACCAGTGATCGGCAAACTCACGTGTCCACAGAGCCAGGTATCCACAGCACGACGATGGACATTTCTTTGGAGAGCCACATTTTTAAACTTAAACTTCTTCTCACGCCGCTTCTTCAAACTCGGCCCAGGGGAGCGCCGGTTTCCTGTGAAGCAAGGGTGCCCTGCGGCCTGGGTCCCCCTTAGCCACAGGAGCTGACAGCGGCCAGCTACACGCCTGCCGAGGAGAGGGAGCCCGGGGCGCAGAGCGGCAGGAACCATGCTGGGGTCCCCTCCTCCACACAACAGGAAAGGAACGCACTGTCCCCCTTTCCCCCACTCCCCCCCCACATTGCGAGAACTCCCACCGTTGTCTCGGGATCCTGGCTGTGTCCGCCTCTGTTCCACAGAAGCTGAAAAATCACTTATTCATTTGCATAAAAGCTTCCAGCGCCAGAATGTGACTACAAAGCTATCTTTGCAAAGCGAATTGGAACCCTCGGCTCTTGCTTGCGGACGACAAGCCATTCATCAGCGGCCTTAATTGTGGAGCTGAGGGTGTTTGCCTCCCATTGTCCAGGGCGATGAACACGGAGGCACTCTGTGAGTCTCAGCTCTCTGCACACCCACCTATAAAACTACCCCCGTCCCGGTCCCCGACCAGCAGACAATCCCATCTTCCTCGGGGGAAACCCCCATTCGTCGTCAGTATTGGTTACCTACTCTTTGCTGTCAGTAACAAGCATCCACTCGGCTCCTGTGCATGCTTGGCGCCTCGTGGGCAGTGAGTGGACACACCACCTTATTAGCCTCACTGGTGCCGGGCCTCAGGAGGCATGCGCTCCATCTGAAGGCGGTGGCCTGGAGAAAGAGCCCATGACAGTGGACAGTGTGTGTCCTGTGCTGGGATGGCACTGTCCTCGGGTATTCCACGGCAGACGAGTGGGAGGAGGGGGGACGGGATGGACCGAGGGAGAAGGCGGGGAGGTACATTTCAGGTAAGAGGACCATCCATGACATTTAAATGTTTACATCCTGCTTTTATCAGTTTGCTTACGGAAATCTGGTAGGTACCCAAATGGTGTGATGGGAAGTTCCAGTGATTCGCTCCCCCTCCCTCAATGGTCAGGAGCCGGTGTTGGGACCATGAGAACAAAGACTGTGACCAGACAAAACCATTAACTCAGAAATAAAATGCAGTCATATTTAATTTCATTTTTACTAATACAAACTAATACAAACCACCCACACTTCTCAATAATCTCACAGATGCCTTCTCTCTAGTAAAAGCTCAAAGAAAACGTTTCATCGGGCATGATCTGTGTTTGCAATACACACAGTCAAGTATCGCACACGTTTGATCAGATTTATCACTGCGTCTTAGTCCAGCCGCTCCCGCTGGGACACATGCAAAACCATCGTCACGTTTCCCAGGTGAAAGCTCTGGGTGCTGCCGTGTCACCGTCACCGCAGCTCCTGCGCGTCACACGTCAGCGGGCCGCGGGCCTGGCGAAGCGTGTGGATCCGGCAGCTTCCGTCCCAGCGCCGCGTGGCACAAGCACTGCAGCGGCGGCAAGCGGGGAAGCGTGTTGCTCCTGATGAGCTGCTGACGGCGGAGCAGGCAGAGGTGAGCCTGCCATCGCCGGCTGTTCCGACCGTTCAGTCAAGAGGACGACGAGCTGGCGTGATCACAGGGCGTTTTCCGCGTGCCCGGCAGCGTGTCCTACCACGCGCGTGGCGGCGGCAGCCGGAGGCCCGGTCGCTGTGGTCAGCGCACCCGGCAGCGGCCGCCTGGCCTCGGCGTCCCGCTCCTTGAACGCGCGTGTCCGGGCCCGGCCTCCTCGCTAGCTGACCAGGCACGGGTCGTCGCCCGGCTTGACCTCGCCGGCCAGCAGCAGGCTCATCACCACCTTGGCCAGGTAGCTGCAGGTGCCGCGCCGGCCCAGCGGGGGCGTGTCGTAAAAGGCAGTCATGTCGTCCTGGGGGGAGAGTGCAGGTGCGTGTGGCTTCCTGGTGGGTTAAGGGCTGGCAGGGCCGGCTGGTGTGGCTCAGTGGCTGAGTGTTGGCTTACGTCCAGGAGGCCCTAAGTGCCCTGACCGGGTTGTGGGCGCATTCCCAGCGGGGGGCGCGCAGGAGACAGCCGATCCCTGACTCTCATCGTTGCTGTTTCTCTCCCTCTCCTCTCCCTTCCCCCCTGCCAGCCCGGGAAGATCGTCCTCAGGATTTCCTCCTGGAAAACCGCCTCCAGCGGTTTTCCTTCTCTTTAAAAAAAAACTTCTCTTTATCAGTCCTGAGGCGTCTCCTCAGCGAGCAAAACAAACACTTCCCGATCCTCCTCTCCGCCAACAACGCGTGTTTCCTTGGGGCCCCTGACAGCTGGACCCAGAACGTGCCACGGAGAGCCTGGGGGTGCACACCCCCCCCCCGGGCCGGACCCTCCGCCTCGGGGCCGCCCTGGAACTCCTGCAGGAGAGTCCCCTCTCCCCGCTGCTTCCACAGAACCCTCGGTGGACTGCCTCGCAGTGAATACGGAGGAGCCCTGATTCCTGGTCACGCACACCTCCTGCCCCTCCCCCCAGTCCTCCACCGTGCCTCTGGGACTCTGCAGGGCACACGGTAAGAGGTGGGGGCGCGCCTGAGGAACTGAGGCATGAAAAACATCCCCGAAAAGCTATTTTCTCTACTCACTTGATTTCCAGCGCCCTGGAGCCGACCCTCGTCTTTCTGGAACTCCCGGAACGCTTCCCGCACCAGTCTGTCCAGGTCGACTTTGTCCTGGAACTCGAGCTCGGGGTTCCTTTCCAGGACCACGGACACGACCATCAGCAGCTGCAGAGACGACAGGGAGGCCCGGTGAGTGGCCAGAGGTGGCGCAGGCTGGTGGGTCCCCCCTTCCCAGCCAGGTCGCGCCCCCACCCCCCGCCCCGTGCGCCCTGTCCCCGCGCCGCCCACCTCCACGATGATCTGCCGGTACTTGGGCTGGTCGATGCTGCCCAGCATGTCTTCCACGAGCAGCGAGAAGTTCATCTCGTACATGGTCATGTCCGACAGGGTGGGTTGCTGGAACACGGAGCCCAGCGTCACCGCGGCACCGGGGGGGGGGGGGGGGGGGGGGGGCCTGGCTTTACCAGAAGCTCCACTCGCTCCCCCAGAATCCCTCTCGGTCCCTACGAACCCGAGCGCCTTCCAGCCCTGGGGCGGGATCTCATGCCGCCCAGCCCCGCCGGCAGGCACCATCGTCCACAGCGTGCGCAGGCCGCGGTGAGTGCGGCCAGGCGTCTGTGCGGCCGCGGGCCGTGCCTCGGGCGGGACACGGCGACGGGCTTAGAAAGCGGAATGCACGGCAGACGCGTGCCAGACCCTCTCCGAGGAGTTTGCCTGAACCTGCGGCAGACCTGTCTGAACCGGCGGCGCAAAAATGCACCAAATCAGCAAGGACAGCGCCGTGAGCGGGGAAGGCAGGCAAACAGAAGCGAGCAAAACCCAAGGGCTGTCTCTGCCCTGCACGTCGCTTCCAGCAGGAGGACTGCACGTGTGCCCGCACCTTCCCCGCACGCGGAGCAGGGAGGGCTGAGTCTGAGCGAGGTGGGCGAGGCTGAGTGTGGGCTCTGCCAGCGGGGCAGGCGGAGTGGCCAGCATCCCGGCAGGGGCGGGCAGAGATGGCGAGTCACACTTCCCACGTACTTCCCGGGACTCCCCTCAGCCTCACAACTAAGCCATCCACTCACTCCCCAGGGGCCCAGCGGAACGCCCCTTCCAGTGGAGCCTCAGCAGCCCTGTCCTGCCTGTGCAATGCGCCCTGCATCCCGTGGGCCCGTCTGCGGGGCAGCCCCGGCGCCGCCGCTGCTCAGCTCCCGGGCGTGCTTGCCGGGGGCGGGGGCGTCGCGTGTTTGGGGGGATGTGAGAAAAGAGGGCTCCTCGTCCGCTGGACGCACGTTCCACCTGGATCACTTCCCTTTCGGGTTCGGTGTCCCCCCCCACCCCCCCGCGGGCCTGGCTCTCCGAGGGGCTGTTTGCTGGAAGGGTGACCTCAGCCTCGCTCTTCGCCCCCTGCCCCTGGGCCCCAGGGGAGCGCGCCTAGGGCCTGGCCACGCGGAGAGGGCTGGCCACGCAGAGGGCAGCTCAGCCCCCGAAGCCCCCTCGCCGAGGCCGCGCGGCGGTACCTGCGGCAGGTGCTTCCCCGCGACCACCAGGCCGTTGGGCGTGCGCTCCAGGATCTGCCACACGCGGTCGTAGAACCCGGCGGGCGTTCTGTTCAGACACCCGTTGATCTGGCGCCGGTTCAGCCAAGACCTGCACCAGAGGAGACGGCGTCAGAGCGGAGCCGCCGGCGGGGACTGGCACGGAGCCCGGCTTCCGGCAGGGGCCGCCCTCCGAGGGGGAGCCGGGACCGCCAGGGACGCAGACCGAGCCGGTGTCAGAGGGGACTGAGTATTTCAGGGAAAAGCGTGCAGAAAACGAGGACACACCGACTTCCTCTCACCCTGTCGTTAAATGACTCTAACAGCCAAAGCAGTTCATTTAAACACACAGGAGCAGCTTCAGTAGTCGTACGAAAGCCTTCTCCGTCCTAAACATGTTCTTCCACTCAGTGCAACCCACGAGGGCTCGCTCTGCCCGCTCCACCCTCAGCACAAGCCCAGGCTCTGCACGGGGTCGGCCTCGGAGGTGAACCTCTACCCAGGGAGCAGGGAGCAGGCCCACGCCTCTCCGCGTTACCGAGCTGCGCCTGCGCCACGTGTGGGGAGGAGGCGGGCGCGCTGCAGAGGCTCAGGCAGGGACCGGGGGTGGAAGGAGTGCCGGGCGCTGCCCAGAACAGTAAAGCACACCTGAGCCGTGTCCCCGTTCCAGGCAGTGCCGAGTGACGGCTGAGGACAGGTATTTCGATTCGCGTCCTGCACCATCCCCGGGGCTGTGGCGTTTTCCTTCCTATCTCCCTTCCTTCCTACACGCGTCCAGCGTGGTCACATGTCCAGAGGGGCCTCTTACCGTCCGTTCTGCTGCGGCTGGAGGATGTCCATGAGGAGCTGCTTGACGGCGCTGGGCGACAGCTGGTACAGGTCCACGGCGGCCTGGTCGCCCGCCCGGAGCTGCAGCTCGTACTCCATGGCGTGGATGATCCACCTGGCGGGACGGGAGAGCGGGGCCATCACCTGGGCGCAGTCCCCTGGGCTCCTGGCGGCTGTCCCGCAGCACCGTCCACCCGGGGGCGCGGGCGAGGCCACGCAGCTTCCTGAGCCCAGAGACCCGCTCCCGTCAGGGCTGTGAGGGGATCTGACCGCTGAGCACACGGCTGTGCTTGCAGACGAGGTGAGGCAGGAACTATGGAGACCGGGTTAGAACTGGGGATCTTGCCACATGAGATCCCATCCACCGGGCACCATAGGCCACCACGCGAACAGCTGTCACACCATCCTTTTTCTTTCTTTCTTTTTTTTAAATGTTTTTATTGATTTCAGAGAGGAAGGGAGAGAGGGATAGAAACATCCATGATGAGAGAGAATCACCAAGTGGCTGCCTCCTGCACGCCCCCACTGGGGATCGAGCCCACAACCCGGGCCTGTGCCCTGACAGGGAATGGAACTGTTACTTCCTGGTTCACAAGTTGACGCTCAGCCCCTGAGCCACCCGGGCAGGGCCGAGCAGCTTTCCATCAGTGAGTTTGCAGTTTTATCTCACTTTGTCCATCTGCCGTACTCTGAGGCGAGCACTGAGACAGACCGGCTTTGCGAACCAAAGGCGAGTGGAGAGAACACGGCGCCCGAGGGAGGCGGCGCTGCACGCACAGGGAGGCCGGGCACGAGCTGCGCCAGCGGGGCCTGCGCCCCCCTCCCGCTCAGCGTGGGCGTGCAGGAGGCGGCCGGGCCATGATTCTCATCACTGATGCTTCTCTCTCTCTCCCTTCCTCTCTGAGATCTATAAAAATGTTTAATGGAATGCACCGACTCATCACCAGGAACGATTTTTCACAACCGCCCTGAGCTGTGGTGAGGAGCTGAGAAGAACGCGCCCAGGTTGCTATGAGTGAGGGTGAGCAGGCAGGTGAGGGAGAGGGCACAGGCTCAGAGGTACGGGGCAGCGGGAGGGGATTGTCACTGAGTGAGGGTGTGCAGGCAGGTGAGGGAGATGGCACAGGCTCAGAGGCAGTGGGGCAGCGGGAGGGGCTGTGCCCGCCATCACTGAGTGAGGGTGTGCAGGCAGGTGAGGGAGATGGCACAGGCTCAGAGGCAGCAGGAGGGGCTGTGCCCGCCATCACTGAGTGAGGGTGTGCAGGCAGGTGAGGGAGAGGGCACAGGCTCAGAGGCACAGGGCAGCGGGAGGGGGCTGTCACTGAGTGGGGGTGTGCAGGCAGGTGAGGGAGATGGCACAGGCTCAGGCACGGGGCAGCAGGAGGGGGCTGTCACTGAGTCAGGGTGTGCAGGCAGGTGAGGGAGAGGGCACAGGCTGACAGCACGCCTCCTCAGGGTCTCCGGCAGCCGCTGACAGGCAGCGCAGAGAGCTGGATCGCAGTCTGTACAGTAATGGGCCTGTCAGCAGCTTGATGGACCCCAATGTAAAGGCCGAGCACGAATCAATGCCGACAGCAAGTCAGATCCTTATCTGACCAGCACCGTCCACAGCGGGCTCAGTGCTGCCGGGCCCGATGGAGGCCATGCTGGAGGAACCGCGCGGGCCGGACCTGGGGGGGGTGGGAGGCCGCGGGGCCACGGCGGGCGCCACTCACCCCACGCGGATCTTGAGCATGCCGCTGAACAGCTCGGGGCTGTTGGCGATGGCCCAGCCCACGTGGATGACCAGCTCCTGCTGGATGACCGCCCCCCGCTCGTCGTGCGTGTTGCACTTGTAGATCATGTCCTGGATCACTCGCGGGGACAGCGGGTTGGAGATCACCTCCTCCTCGTGCCCGAAGGCGCCCAGCGTGACCTAGAGGAGACGGACTGAGCGGCCACTCCCAGCTGCCTGCGCCTGAGGCCCGGGCGGGGGCAGGTGGGGCCCAGCCCGCGGGAGAGGCGAGCGGCTGAGGGCAGGGGAGGGACGTAAATAACCATTGGGAAGGGATTGCTCTGAAGGCAGTTCACCGGCAGGTCCCCGGGAACCCAGCGCGCAGAGGGGCGTCTTTCCGCAGTCCGCGCACACAGCACGGGAGGGTGACCCTCCCGCCTCTTCCCGCTCCCTGGGAAGGGTGAGGGGAGGTCACCCCCTGAGTTCTAAAACCTGACTGCTCTCTCACCTCAGAGGGTCGTCCGTGGGGTGGCCCACAGAGAGGACAAGAAAGCGCAGGAATTTTACTGAGACTTAAAGCCCCTCTTGACTGTAACGCTCACAAGGGCCCAGGCTGACTTCCCGGAAACGGCCACAAAGCACCGTGTTCCCCCAGAAGAGAAAGAAGCAAACAGGCCTTCACCCCGCCAGGCAGCCAGAGCGCAAGCGCACAGCCCGGAGCTGAGCAGCCCCCCACTCCCAGGCGCCCCCCAGCTCCACGCAGCCGCGGCGCAGGGACAGCGCCCAGCCATGCGAGCCGCGGTGAGCGCCATGGTCAGTGAACTGCAGTCCAGAGCAGATCCAAATAGAGCTGGCGGAGGGAGGGGGCGCCCAGAGGGACAGGGTCTGGGAGTCGGTGTACCCCGAGGGGAGAGACCCTCCCAAGAGGGGAGGGAGAGGCCTGCCGGTGCAGCTGTCTTTGCCCGCCTGTCTGGCCTGCGCCATGACCTGCCTCCAGCAGGTCCCTGTCCTGTGCCCGCGTCTTCCGAGCCCTCGCGTCAACGCGGTGCAGAGCAGAGGGGAGTGACCGCCTCTCTGAGGCCCGGTGCGGGGAAGGGGTCGCACCGGGATTCTAACAACGCGGCTACGGAGGCCTAGGGCCCGAGGGCGCCAGATTTCAGAGCCAGGGTCCCCCGGGGGAGTCTGCGGCGGACACTTACCTGCTTGCCCTGCACTAACACATTAGTAATGGACGGGGCCAGGCTGTCCACTACTTTACTTAAAAGGCTCGCTGCGTGGCGCACCACCGACCTGGGGAGAAGAGAGCAGCCAGACGGTCACGGCTGTGACAGTGCTGGGCCCCCGGGGGGGACGCAGACATACGCACAACAGGGCCTCAGCCGTGGCCGTGGGGACATCGAGCCCAACACCGGGCCCGGCCGGGCCTGTCCCAGATGCAGAACTGACCCTGCAGGGCAGGGAGGTCCCCATCCCCGCCTGGGCCACAGCGTCATCGGCCGTTACCAGCTTCACCGGGGAGGGAGCCTGACGGGCCTCTGAGGGGGAGGGCTGGAGGAGGGCGGGGCCGGAGGGGCTGGGTGGGAGCCCTGACTGTGGAAAGGCTGGTGCCTAACACTGCCCGCCACCTGCTCCTGCACCAACCAGTCACCGTGTGTCCCTCGGGGCCTGGAACCGGACGCCTGGCTGACGGGCTCGCCGAGTCCCGGGTTTAGGAAGTGTTACAAGGAAATACCAGCACTTTTCTTAGCTGAAGCCGGAATGTGGGAGGAAAGAATTCACACTGCTATTTTTACTTTTCTGCAAAAGTCTCAGCCTTCGGAGAACAGATTGCTTTTAAAGCACAGCACATGCAAGGCATGAGATTTTTTTTTTTCTCCCTCAAAAGTGAAAGATTCATGTGGAACTTTTAGATGACAAAAAGTAAAATGTAGGTTTAAAACGCTTTCCTTGAAGTTCAGACATTGATGAAAAAGCCTCCTATGAAAAGCAGGCCCCTTCCTTAACCTCAGTGCGGGCGGACCAGCGAGAGGACGTCAGTGACGGGTAAGTTAGTGCGCCGTTTAGAGAAGCCGTCACCGCACACTCGGCCAGCAGGGCGGCTCGGCCCCGGATGCAGGGAAGCCACACTGCGGGCAGCCGCGGCCGCACGGGTGCGCGTTACCTGCTTCCCGTGGACCAGCAGGGTGGTGATGTGCGGGGCTATGGAGGAGGAAAACTTGCGGGTAAACGCGGCCCCGGAGCGGACCGCCAGCCTGGGCGTGCCAGAGCGGAGCAAGAAAGGAAAACAGAGTGAATACAACTGGCGGGAGCTGGTTCTTCTCAACGTGGCGGCCAGCACCGGCTGCTGGCCAGCGGTCCGAGACGCCGGTGTCACACTGACCTAAAAGGCAGGTGTGACACTGACCTGAAAGGCAGTGAGGACCCGGCTGCTTAGCCCAAGGAGCGTCACGGGCCCCCCAGGTCCCCTGGCTGTGAGGCAGCATCTGTGAGCTCACGCCGCACGTGCTGAGGGCCTACAGTGAGAAAGGGTCCGTCCGCAGGTCACCACGCTATTGCTTCCCACTGGAATGGCGTGTGTGTTAGCATCACGGAGCTGGACGGCTGCCAAGAGACTGCTTTATCGAAATCTGACTTCAGGGATTGCAAACCCAAGGCTCACTCAGGTGAGGGGAGTCTCTTACACATCTTGAGACTTTTTCCCCCCAAAATTAGAAAATAATGGGTCTCGTAAATATATATATATATATATATATATATATATATATGTATATTCTTAACTTTCAAAATGTTAGATTCCGCCAGTACTGCTGTTAGAATTGCTTTGAGCTGCAGAGAGCCATGCGTTTAGGCAAACGGCCCTGCTGTGGATTTAAACTGTTTTATTTCGACTTACCTCGCTTCTGTTTCAACCCCTGGGAAGAGCCTACCGCCGCCGAGCACATTAGTCACTCCTCGCGAAGCTGCGGCTGCCCTGGGACCCTCCCGCCCGCCCGAGTGGTGGGAGGTCTGCCTGCTCCCCGCCCCGGCCTCCCGGCAGCGGGCGGGTGGGGCTCCGGACAGAGCAGAGCCGGACGCACTGCTGGGCCCCGGGAGGGGGGAGGCCAGCACACACCACCCGGTGGCCAATCCCCCAGGCTGCCCCCCGTGCAGTCTCTGTCCCGGGCACTGTGCCTCTCCCGGGAGAGCCAGGGGGCCGTGGAGTGTGGGCAGCCATGCGCTGTCCGCGGCCTTGGGAAGTGGGAATGAGGGGACAGTATCTCTGAGACCAGCTCATCCTCCTCAGGCCCCTGACCATGACAACACACCACAGACACACACAGGGATGAGGACACGCGTACGAACCAGAGCTTCTTGCTGCCGGCCTTCCTGTAGACTCTCTCGATGTGATCGGACACGGTGCCTGGACACCGGGGAGAGAAGAGAGCCTTTGTTGAGAAGCGGTTTTCATTCAATGCGATTATTCTCCCCTTCAGAGGCACTCGGGTTCCCGTTTTGTTTGGTTCCACGAGAATTGGTACGGCCACCCCCGCGGTGTCTGCACAGCCTGACACATGCGATGTGCAGCCCAACACACACATGGTCCTCCCTTACTGCTAGCTGGTCTGAGCAGATACTCTCAGTGAGCACTGTGCTTCTCCGTTTCTTCTTAATTAATATGCAGTCTCTAAGTTTGTAACACGTGAAAATGTTATTTTAATTCACTGCAGAAAATAAAACACAGAGCGCAGCCAAACCACGGCTTGCGAGCCACATGTGGCTCTTTGGCTTCTTGAGTGTGGCTCTCCCACAAAACACCACGGCCTGGGCGAGTCTATGTTGAAGAAGTGGCGTTCGAAGAAGTTTAAGTTTAAAAAATGTGGCTCTCCAAAGAAATGTCAATCGTTGTCCTGTTGACATTTGGCTCTATTGATATGTGGCTCTGAGGACTAATGAGTTTGCCGACCACTGGGGTAAAGAGCAGAGTCACCATTTCACCCTGAACTTACCTCGCTAGCTCTGTGCTAATTGGGTACGATCACACTCAGGTTCTCTAAGTGCTTGTGATTTCCACTGCATCATGAGGTTCTACAGGTTTAAACCATCTAAGTATCTAAGTGAAGGATGAGTATGACTTCCAAGTTTACAAAAATGGCTTAAAAACGTATTCCCTCAGCATTTTCATGATAAACTGTTTACATAAGTAGTCTGCACTACAGTTTCCTAATGAAATCCTTGCTTTTATGAAATCCTATTGTTTTAAAGTGTAAATGTCAGCAAATGTCCCCAATATACTGGGGATTCTGCTTATACTTATAGTTCCAATACTAATTAGAAATGAGGGATTCTGTTTGAAATTCGCCTAAAGTTCTTCTGCCTTTAATTAGTTAAGAAAATTAAAAGCATTCAGTTTGCATGTACAATACCCAAGAAGGTTAGCTCTTAGCTACAATCATGCAAAAACGAATCGCCTGATGTGAATAAGCGAGTGTGTGTGGTTCACCAAAATCTTATTAATTACACCGATGTTTAAAATTCTGACTCATTTCCATCCCAACCAAAGCCACATGCCCAGCTGAGCCAAAACGCTGAGCAGCCAGCCCACACCCACGTGAGATGCATCCTGCTTTGTGCTCATTGGGAAATGCCCGAAAGCAGACCACAATGGAGACCTCAGAGGCTCCTGAGAGCTGTGACTCAGCGCACAGACGTGGGTTCAGGGTCACGGCAGAGGGGTGGGCCCCACAGAAGTAGCGTGCTTCTGTCCATCGTTAGAGCTCAGCCCTCTCCCGCCCGGTCCCACCCACGTGGCTGCTGCGGGCCGCGGGGCCGCTAGTGCTTACAGCTACAATAATTCAGTGCTGTTCTCAAAAACAGACAGAAAATAAAACTGGAAACAGACAGTGTCCGGGAGCAACGGGGGTAAGAGTCACGCAGAGCCCCGGCTCCAACGCCTGCAATCAGAGAAACCCCGCGTCCCTGAGCCGCCAGGGGCTCCCACCTCCCACCGCCGGGCCAGGTGGCATGCGTGGACACTGCCCACTTAAACGTTTAATAGTTGGAGGACATAACTGGTGAGCCTGGTGGGCACCGGCCACGCGTGCTGCAGAAGCTCCAGCAGCGCGGCCCGCTGCCGGGACGGCCTCCGACGCGCCCTACCTTCCTTGGTGATGAAGGTGGGGCCCTCCCTCTTGAGCAGGATGCCCAGCAGGATGACCTGGCTGGCCAGGCCGCTGCAGTCCTGGGAACACAGATCCCTGGGTCACCTCGGGGCGGCGGGCCGCCCTCCGGGCCCGGGCAGGCCCGCCTCACCTCCAGCTTCTGCAGGATGTCCTGGGTGGGCCTGGCCCGCCACTCGGCCAGGCTGACGTCGGGCTGCAGTTCCAGCTCCGTGGCCTGGGAGGCGCTGCTCTGCCGTTTGACCTTGGAGTGCTTGGGGAGCTCCAGTTCCTCGAAACTCTTAAACTCCGGAGGCCTGGAAACCGACAGAGAACGTTCCGGACGACCCTCCCCGGCGAGGCGCCGTGGGCGCACCCCCGACCCCGACTCACTCCTCGGTGTCGCTGATGCGCAGGAAATCCAGCTGCTCCACCACCGCTCCGGAGATCAGCGTCTGGAGCGGGGAAGGCCGGGCGGTGAGCTCATGGTGCCCAGCTCTGTGACCCATGCCCCTGCCTCCGTCCCCAGGGCAGCCTTCCATGGCTTCCCCACCATGAAGGCAGCCCTGACGCCGTTTCCTACGAGGGCGTTCTAATCAGACAGGTCTGCACATGCCACACACACACACACACACACACACACACCCCAGAACCGCCCAGACGCTGAGCTAGGGTCCCAAGTCAGAGTGAACAAGGACAGCGACAGGACACCTGTGCCTCCCTCCGCTCTCAGAGCTGCGGCCATTGTCAAGCAGAGATAAAACTCGCCCGTTAAAATGTGAAAAAAATAATTCGAAATCAAAGAAAACGCAATGCTCAGACTGTCTGGGCAGAGCGCCTGTGCAGGGCTGGTGGACAGCGCAGAGCAGAGGGCCCGGCTCCCCGGGGAGGGCCGGCGCGGAGGCCTGCGGGGGGGGCCGCGCCCTGAGGGGACAGCAGGAGCGGGGAGCCGTCTGTGGCCAATAGGAGCGAGGAGAGGGCTCTGAGGATCCGGGGTGGGGGAGGGGGGCCTGGGCCACAGTGTGGGGCTGGGGAGGATGGGGCGGCTAGTGCTGTTGGAATCCGAGAGGAGAGAAAACCGGTTGTCACGTGGGCAGGAGGAAAGAGTCAAGAATTCATTTGTCCTCCAAGCCGAGAACTGACATGAGAACGTAAGAAAATTAATTCTGATTTAGTGTTTTCTAGTTCTAAGCGTGGCCCCTTCTGTACTAACATCCCATAAAGGAGATGTGTAACGAGCTCACAGGCAAGCAGCGGCGGGGAGGGGGAGGGGGAGGGTCAGGGGAAGGGGGAGGGTCAGAGGGAGGGGAAGAGGAAGGAGGATGGTCAGAGGGAGGGTCAGGGGAAGGGGGAGGGGGAGGGTCAGGGGGAGGGGAGGGTCAGAGGGAGGGTCAGGGGAAGGGGGAGGGGGAGGGTCAGGGGGAGGGTCAGAAGGAGGGGAAGAGGAAGGAGGATGGCCAGAGGGAGGGTCAGGGGAAGGGGGAGGGTCAGAGGGAGGGGAAGAGGAAGGAGGATGGTCAGAGGGAGGGTTGGGGAAGGGGGAGGGGGAGGGTCAGGGGGAGGGTCAGGGAAAGGGGGAGGATCAGAAGGAGGGGAAGAGGAAGGAGGATGGCCAGAGGGAGGGTCAGGGGAAGGGGGAGGGTCAGAGGGAGGGGAAGAGGAAGAAGGATGGTCAGAGGGAGGGTTGGGGAAGGGGAGGGGGAGGGTCAGGGGGAGGGTCAGGGGAAGGGGAGGGTCAGAAGGAGGGGGAGGGGGAGGGTCAGGGGGAGGGGAGGGTCCGGGGGACAGGGCACCAGCGGGCACGGGGCTGCGGGAATACAGCGCTGAGACCAGCGCCCTCCACAGCACGCCGTGGAGAAGCGCCGCTGGCTCCCGTGGGACTGAGTGTGGGGACTGAGAGAGGTGCGAGCCCAGCCGGGTGGAAGGAGATGCCCCTGGTGCGGGGGGGGGGGGGGGGGGGGGGACACCGCGCCGCGCCGCGCACCTGCAGGCGGTCCACGTGCACCTTCACGCCGCCCACCTCGCCCTTCCTGAAGGCCGCCAGCATGTCCAGGACGGGGCTGAAGCGGCTGCCCCTGGAGCAGAAGCAGAGAAGCGGACGCGCGTGAACGGCAGAGTGAGGGACGGCCGTCTCCGGCCGAGGCCCTTCTCGCGTGCCCGCGCCCTGCCAGCCTGGGGCCCCGGCGCCCACCCACCTGATGTTGTCTTCCCGGACGAGCACTAGGAAGAGGGGCCGCCCGTGCATCTTCCAGTACTGCCTGATGAACTGCAGCGCGTTCTGGGAGACAGGGCGGGCGGGGTGGCACCCAGGCCAGCAGGGAGCCGTTGGCAAAGCCTTCCATTCCCAGGTCACCCCGTCCAACCCGGGGTGAGTGGCAGCCAGGGCGGAGGCCAGCACCTTCCCGCACACGGAGGGCACACGCACAAGCTCCCGGGAGCCACCCCGCCTGCGTGCTTTGCGCTGGGAGAGAACCCGCACACGGACTGGGTGCTGGCTCTGGGGCGAGGCCTGGTGAGCACCGGCCCAGGGGGCCCAGAGAGCAGGCGGGCTCATGCGCAGCCCGCTCGGGTGAGCGTGCGGGACGGGAGGCGGGGAGCCGGGACTGCACCCACAATGGGGAGGGTCCCCTCCATTCGGTGTCTGCGCGCCCATCCCCCTCGGGGCCGTGGGGCTGGGAAATGGCGGGGCCAGCCTGGCCCCAGAGGCCCCGATGGCCCGCAGGGGACGCGGGAGGGAGGAGGTGTGACCGCGGAATGAGCGGGGACAGCCGTGCCCGTGGGACGCTCCGCTACCTTAATGTCGTCGATGAGCAGCAGCACATCCTGGGACAGGTAGAAGTCGCTCAGGTCGAAGATGATGGGGTAGCACACCACTGTCTTGCCCAGGATGCGGTAAATCTGCAGGAGACGCTCAGAGAAATCAGAGCCGCCCCGCGGCCAAGGCCACCGCAGCCCTGCAGAAACCACCGCCGATGGCCGGTTCTCAGCAGGCACGTGACAGACTCGGACAAAACACGCAACGTGAAGGCGTCCGGACGCCCCGGGACTGGCTCCGTGTGTGAATGAGCACGTGACCGACCCTCCCCCACGACGGAGAGCCTCTGTCTGCGCTCAGAAGTAACGAGCGGGCGCTCCCTCCCGAAGACTCCTGTGATGTCCCACAGACCCACTCGGGAGATGGCTGCTAACGTCATGACTCAGGCCCGGCCGGCCTGGCTCGGGGGCTGAGCGTCGACCCAGGAACCAGGAGGTCAGGGTTCCGTTCCCGGTCAGGGCACAGGCCCGGGTTGTGGGCCCCATCCCCAGGGAGGGGCGTGCAGGAGGCAGCCGGTCCGTGATTCTCTCTCGTCATGGATGCTTCTCTCTCTCTCTCTCTCCCGTCCTCTCTGACATCACTGGAAATGCAATTTAAAGTAGAAGCAGAGAAGCGAAACGCGCATGTGGACGCAGAGTGAGAAACGCAGTGCCCGCCCTGCGGAGCCGCACCTTGGACGTGCCGAGGCAGCCGATGGGCCGGTCCGGCCGGCCCGAGAGCCCCAGCTTGTCGTTGACGCCCAGGTGGAAGTAGGCCTGGAAGACACAGGTGTGAGCGAGCGGGCGGGCAGCGTGCTCCTCCTCCGCCCCCGCCCGCCCCCGCTCCTCATTCTCTCCGGGAAGCGGCGGCGGCGGAGACCTTGCTCCGTGGACTCGGCACACACGCCGGCCCCGGCGGCCCCTGGACTCTGGGCCGCGGTGTGAGAGCCGCACGGCCATCGGCTCCCCCGGCCCGGCCGCCGGGCCCTCCCCGCCCAGCACCGCCCGCCCAAGTGGGCGTGTCTTCCTGCTTCTTCTGACTTAAATTTTACTTTAAAGTTTAAGCCAAACGCTGCAGCTAAACGGCCCGCGGACTCTCACAGCCCCTTGGGCAACGCTGGTGCCCGGTCCAGGGGCAGGTTCGGCCCGGGGCCCGGAGCCGCCAGCAGCAGGCAGCCTCCGGGAGCACAGGGGCCCGCCCCCCACGCCTCGGCGCGGACGCCGGCACGGGCGGTCCTCAGATGCCATCTGTGTGCCCGGCGCCCTCTGCTCTCCGTGCTGCTGGGACTGCGGGGGCGCGAGGGCTGGGACGAGGCCTGCGGGTCAGGAAAAGGGGGCTCCCGGGGCGACGGTGCCGAGCCAGCGCCCACCTTCACCAGCTCCTGCTGCGCCCAGATCTGAATGGGCTCCACCTGCTGGGGCGTCTGCGTCTGGATCCCGTACGTGTTGAGGAAAACCTGGAGGCTGAGGACAGGCAGGGGTGGGCTTGGGGACGGCAGGGGCACGCGGAAACCCAGGGCGAGGGGGCCCGGCTCGGAGCAGCTGGGTCTGTCAGTGCGCAGTGCGCCGTCTGCCCTGGGACCCGGGGCCCGGGGTCCTCGCAGAACATCCGATGGGCGCTCTGGGGACGGGCCAGCGGGGGCGGGCGGGGGGCAGGCACGGGGTCGGGGCAGCGCTGGGCTGGTCGCCGTGGCTAACACTCGCATCACTCACCCTGAAGAGGACGTGGTTCTGCCCTTAAAGGGGCAAGAACGACGTCCTCGAACCCTGCCGAGGGGCCCATGCCCCCGCCTCACTGCCGGGAGGGAAAGCAGCCGGCCCCGCCCGCCCCCCCCCCCCACGGCGCCCCCCGCGCCCCCGCGCCCCTACCGCTGGCTCTCCGCGATGAGCGCCACGTGGACCACCAGGTCGTTCTCCAGGGGGCCCTGCGCAGAGAGGGGGCTGAGGAGGGGCCGCCGCGGGCGGCCGGCGCAGAGAGGACGGCCCGCTGCCTGCCCGGCCGGCCCTGCGCGCTGCCGCGGGCCCCACGGAGCGGAGGGAGCCTCTGAACTGCCGAGGGCGTCAGAATGAGGAGGCCCAAACAGAGCGGAGCCTCGGGCAACGTTCCTGCAGGGCCTTGAACACCGTGAGCAGCTCTGAAGCCAGAGCACAGGGGGCGCCGGGGAGTCCGTGTTGGGGGCGCTGCCGAGGGATGGGCTGAGGAGAGGCTGCCCCTGTGCTGGCGGCAAACTCACCCAGGGAGCCCGCTCTCCGCCACCGAGTCCGTCACCCCGCAGCCCGGCTCCGGCACTGGCCGCGCCATCGCTCCGGGGGACCGTGACCAGGTCCTGGGGGCCGTGACCGCAGGGCCAGGTTCACAAACCACCCAGGGACCATGTGGCAGCTGGGGGGAGGGGGCAGCCCTGGCCCAGGCGCAGACCAGGCCCCGAGTGTGTGTGTGTGTGTGTGTGTGTGTGTGTGAGAGTGTGTGTGGGGGGGGGGGGGGGTGCACACATGCATGTTTTTTTAAACTTAAAGGAGCAGCACTGCCAGGCAGTCTGGCTCAGTGGTTACAGAGTGGCCCAAAGGACCAAAGGGTCATGGGTCTCATCCCCCCAGTCACCCTGCATCTTCTCAAACCTTCGACGTAACCCCGCGAGGTGGACGTTTACCAAAGACATCTCGCTGACACCTCTGGCTCACGCTGCCGCCTTCACAGGCAGCCCTGGACCCAAAGTCATTTTTAAAATTAAAGTCCAGTCCCTGGCCCGTGTGGCCCAGTGAGCTGACCGATGGCCTGTGCACCAAAAGGCTGCTGGTTCAATTCCCGGTCAAGGCATGTACAGAAGGCAACAGGTCGATGTGTCTCTCTCACATCGATGTTTCTCTCTCCCTCTCTCCCCCTCACCCTCCCTCCCTTCTTCCCTTCCTCTCTCTGAGCATACCCGAGGGTGAGGATTTAAAAAATAAAGTAAATCAATCAATCAAATCAAAGTGTAGCTGACATACGAACAGGCAAATGCTAACTGCCGAGAAGAGGGAGAAGCCTTGCCTCGGACGGAGGTATGAACACCGCGTGTGGAGTAACCTTTCTCCGCCAGTTAAGCTGCCAGTGTCGGCGCAGGAGCCGAGCCAGGGAACGGGGCCCTTACCTGGTTGGAAAACCTCATGCTCACGTTCCGCTGGCTCTGGACCGGGACGAAGCGCTGGATGGGATCGAGGTCCGTGGGGCTGATCAGCTCATCCGCTGGGGAAGAAGGGAGGCATTACCCAAGGTGCACTGCACAGCCCCACCCCAGCAAAGCCTGACGGGCGCTCACAGAACACTCCGACCGGAGGCCTTCCTGACTTCAAGTTAGATAAAACGACGTCACCAAACGCCAAGTAACAGCCGGGACCGGTGTGGCTCAGTGGATAGAGCGTCGGCTTGGGGACTGAAGGGCCCCAGGTTCGATTCCGGTCAAGGGCATGTACCTTGGTTGCGGGCGTATCCCCAGTAGGGGGTGTGCAAGAGGCAGCTGGTCGATGACTCTCTCTCATTGATGTTTCTAACTCTCTATCTCTCTCCCTTCCTCTCTGGACAAAAATCAATAAAATATATATTTTTTTTAAAAACAAAACAAAAAAAACATCAAGTAACAGAAGAAAAAACGAGGTAAACTGGATTTGGCCGCATTATAATCTTTGTTTCTCAAAGGATACCATCAAGAAAGTCAAACTGACAGCCCGCAAAAACAGGAGAAAATATTTGCAAGCCATATACCTTGTAGGGACTTGCACCTTGGATCCATAAAGAACTCTTACAACTCGGCAATAAAAAGACAAACAACCCAATTTCCAAACGGCCAGTTATCTTAGCCATAGTTATCTTGTGTTTTGCTCAGACAAGAGAAAGTTAATTGAATAACATAAATAAAGACCCTATTTCTTTTTTTAATATATTCTCATTGATTTCTGGGACTAAGGAGAGGGAGAGACAGAAACATCCATGATGAGAGAGAATCATTGCTCGGCTGCCTCCTGCACGCCCCCTATTGGGGCTTGAGCCTGCAACCCAGACATACGCCTGACCAGGAATCGGACCACCTGGGTCAGAGGTCAGAGGTCGATGCTCAGCCACTGAGCCGCGGGGGTCAGGCCAGCCCCGCCTCTAAAGCGAGCGTGCCCTGTGCTCAGCTTCTCATCCTCCCCTGACCCTCAGGTCTGTGCAGTCACATAGAATCAACGGCCTGCTGGCTCCCTGTGTAGACGCGCCCTGTAGAATGCCTACTTTTATAGGACGTCCTCCCTTTTCCCTGGCCGTGTGAGTGCCGCTTCTGCAGCGGCCGGGTCTGGAACTCAGGGCGGGAGAGTCTGCCACAGAGACGCGGGCAGCTGGGGGAGCGTTTCTCACGGGATCTCCAAGCTGGGCACGTGGCAACGCTGCCCTTTGCCCAGATCGCCACGGGTTTCTAGGCACACCGGAGAGGTCTCTAACAGCGAGGGTGATGCTGATAACAGAGGAGCGAGGGGAGGGAGGAGCAGCGGCGGCCACGCAGCCAGTCGTTCCTCCTCACAGCACCCTCCTCCTTCGCAGGCCACGAAACGGAAGCCCTGCCTGGCCAACCAACTGGCGCCCACGCTGGGGAGGGCGGCGCTCAGCCTCGCACAGCAGGCTCTCTCCGGGGCTGGGCCCTGAACCACGGGAGCCTCGCCCTTTAAGAACAACGACTTTCCCCGCACGCTGAGCGGGGCAGACGCAGGAGGAGGCCGTCCACAGATACATCAGACCTACTGGGTGGTAGTGTCCTGCCCAGACCAGGGAGCGCAAGCCAGAACATTCTCTCGCGTGCTTTTGCATATTTTTGCAAGATTTAAGTGGAACCAATACAGGTTCGTTACGGCAAATAGCGACCTGTCGTTTCCATTTAAGTAGCAGTTTAGCTCGTGAGGCAGGGGTGATTAGGGCTCTGATATTCTAAATAGCAGCAAATGTTTCCCCGGCTCGTTTGTCTGATCGTTGGGATGTGGAAACTCCCAGGACCATCAGCATGTTACATCATTAGTGTTCACCGCTGGCACGGAAACGCAGCTCCATCTTATTCTGTCAGCTGCGAAGGACCACAGATGGATTAAGACGCTGTACCCTTGGCAGGCGTAAGTGCTAGTCCACTAGCATGGGCACGAATACGACAGGCAGCCGAGGCCTCTGAGAGTGCTGTGTCCCGGCGGGTGTGTCTCTCTCTCTCTCTCTCTCTCTCTCTCTCTCTCTCTCTCTCTCTCTCTCTCGGCTGCACCTGCGGCCAGGCTTGCTGCTCTCGCACATCCCCGCGGGCGCTCACCTCTGCCGCACGCCACATCCAGACGCCTGTGCGCGCAGAGACTCCCCGGACCCCCTCCCCGCACCGACACCCGGACATCCGGGGAAAACGGCCGCAAAGCCACGCACGGGTACGGGCTTGAACCGGGCCCCGCCCGCGGCCCACTCACTCAGCAGCTTGGCGATGATGTACAGGGCCTGGCCCCACAGGAACAGCTTCCCGTCCCGGCCGCAGTTGCTGGGAAACCGCTTCTGGCTGCCGGGGCTCCGCTTCTCCAGCTCCACGAAGTCGGCCGGCACGTAGTAGTACTTGGGGACCACGGGGTGGCCTGGGCGAGACACAGCACCTCAGCCTCCCCGCCCCCAGCTGCCCGCCAGGAGCCGCGGGGCTGAGGAAGCAGAGACGAGAGTGTGCGGGAGGTAGTGGGTCCGAGGGGCTCCAGGAAACCGGTTGGAGGAAACGGGCTGTGGGGAAGCGTGTCGGAGGGTCGGTTGGTCGGTCAGGGTAGCTCACTTGTGGGAAATGGTAGGGGAGGGTCATAACCCGGGGCCCTGGCCGGGAGCAGAGAAATCCCATTTCCCACTCGGCCCAGCTCTCCGACCCGCACCTCTGGAGAGAGCACCACCCTCCTGCTCCCTGCTCCGGGGAAACTACACGTGGCCGTGGGAAGATGGGGCTGTGGTGCCACACATTCTGCGTCTTTGCATGTCAGCCCGTGGGAAACCCCGTCTCCTGACAGAATCGCACAGGTTTCCCTAACCCCGTCCTCCTGCGCCGGGCAGGCCTGGCGGGTGTCTGACCCCCCAAAGTCTGTGATGTGCTGACTCCTGGGTCAGCACTTGCCGCTGAGCCCCCTGAGCCCCCTATGCTCCCCTAGTCCCCCTGGCCCTGCTGCCCGGCCAGAACTCCTCCTCTGAAATCCTGGGAGAGTGAGTCACACTGAAGACTCAGTCCGATCTCTCCTGGCCCTGCCGCCCCCAACAGGAGCCAGCACGCTGCTCAGAGCACGGGCCTGCCATCATTTCCAAGATGTGAAGTCAGCCCTCGGAGGGGGCACCTGAGCAGACACCAGGCAGAACGCCAGGAAGGCGCCAGGGGCGGCCCCCAGGGGGAGCCAGAGCCACCTGGCCATGACAGCGCCGCGGCTCCCGGGCCTCTGCAGGAGGACTCCCCTCAACACCCGGCTCCCGGGCCCTGATGCCCATCGGTCACTTCCGCCCTGGCTGGGGGCTGGGTGGTGAGAGCGCCGCCCCACACTGAGGGGCCAGGTACCTCGGTTTCAGGTTCCGTCCCCAGCCCGGTAAGAGGGGTATGGAGGCAACCAATCAATGTATCTCTCACACCCATGCTTCTCTCCCCACTTCACTCCCTCTAAACACCAGTGGGAAAACACCCTCCGGTGAGGATTAAAAACCAGTCCTTCCTGCCAGGCCGGCACAGAGGAGCTGCAGAGGTGGCAGAGGAGGACCAGCCGTCCGCCCGGCCGGCGTCCTGCAGCGGCTGCAGCCACGACCCCCTAAATGCCCGTCCTGGCCGCACCAGACCAGCTCCGTGCGGGAGAGGCATTTGTGAGGACAAATGAATAGGCTGTTCCTCCTAATCCATCCCCGGCCCCTCGCGTCTCCCGGGTTGACGGCCGCTCTGTCGAAGAGGAGTCACTGCAGGGGAAGGAGCCCGGGGGCCGGCCCGGGGCCTACCTTCCGCCGTCCGGTGCAGCACGGGCGCCAGCAGGTCCTGGTACTCCTTCACCTGCGCGGCGTGGCCGCGGAACACGCCTGGAAGACAGCACGCCCTCAGCAGCCCCTCTGCGAGCACACGGCCCCGCTGGGAGCCCTCGCCCCAGGACTGCGTGGGTAATTATCCGGTGAACGATAAACGTAAAACTTAAAAACCGGCAATGAAAATGTGTGTGACATTTTTCCAGGAAGCCAATTTTAGAAGGTCATGTTAGTATTTAGAATTGAAAACTGACTATTAATTGAAATTTCTCGATTCTCAGTATGAATAGATATTCGGTGTCGCAGATTACGGCATTCATGGTTTCTACACATGAAACTTCCTTCTTCATAAATATGAAAATAGAGCTGTATCATTTTAAAAATAATTCAGCCTGGCCAGTGTGGCTCAGTGGTTGAGCATCGACCTATGAACCAGGAGGTCGTGGTTCGATTCCCGGTCAGGACACACACATGCCCGGCTTGCGGGCTTGGTCCCCAGTGTGGGGATCATTTATGTTTCTATCTCTCTCGCTCTCCCTTCCTCTCTGAAATCAATAAAATATATTTTAAAAAACAATAAAGTAATTCACAGTGCGGTTCTAATTCTCTCAGCGATTTAATCCTCCACCGGGAACCAGGAGAGCATAGCGTGCCGAGGCGAGTGCCAGAGGCGCCGGGGGAGCGGCCGGAAGCGGTGGCATCTCCCACTGACCCCTCCCTAACCGCCCGCCCGCCCGCCCGCCCGCGGCGGCCGCAGGGAGCCGCACTCACCGTCGATGATCATGTACAGGAAGAACAGGGGGAATTCACACTCAATGCCATCAAACAGCTGGAACAGAAAGTAAAACACTGACGATTTCATGAACAATTAGCTGGGACAAGCACAGTGCCGGGCAATGCATCAGTCACGGTTACAATGGGATGTACAAAGGAGGGACTGATGGTGTAACCAAGGGGGCTGGCGTGAGCATTCGTGGAGAAGGAACACTGAGCAGTGTCGCTGTTGTTGTTTAAACTCTCTGACTCATTCCCTGCTCCATGACTGTTCACGGGGACTGAGCACACCCATGCCCGGCACCAGCGGGACCAGGCTGAGAGCACAGGCAGCCGCTCCCTCGGGGCCCAGATGTCCGCCCATGAGCGTCCGGAACAGAAAAGAAACCCCCGGGTCTGCCAGGGCCAGGGGAGGGCTTGGAGAAGGGGGCTCACAGGAGGCCTGGCAGGTCTCTCCAGCGAGGGACGAGGGCCTATGCGAGCGGCACCCCAGGGGTTAACTTCCTCCTCAGCACAGCAGCGCATGTGGCATACGAGGAGGCTCACTGTCTAGCCCACTGGTAAGTGCCGCGCCCGATTCAAGCCCGGCGGCACTCCCGGCCCGTTGGCTCCGGAGGGGAATCCCCGGGCACCTTAATCTCGGCCGGCTTGTAGTAGCGCCGGTGGGGGTCCTCCAGGGCTGTCCGGTACCCGTCTCGCAGGAAACGCTTGAAGCCGTATTTCCCCTTCAGCTTCCGGACCACCTTGTCGAGGGTCTGGCTGAACAGAGCTTCGTCATCCAGCGCGAAGGCAGGGTAGCTGATGCAGGGGAGCAGGGCGGCATCTGTGTTCTGGGCAGCGAGAGGAGGGGGCGACGTGACCCACAGCCCCCCGAGACCCGGGAATTGACAGGGACCCGGCACCAATGAGACGGCGGCGCCCCGGGGACTGGACGGCTACGTGGCCTGGGCCGTGGGCCCCCGAGGAGACAGATCCTATCCGTGAGGAAGTCTTCTCAGGGCTCAGCACTGAGCTCGGCGTGAAGATCTTATTAATACTTAAGGCAGAGTGTGAAAACTTAACACCGTTAATTGGTCCTTACAACTTAGCTTGTCATAACCATCTTTTATAATCAGGAAAAACAAAACCATCTAGATGTCCAACCAATAGGAGAGTATGTTAGCAGCCATTAAAATGTATGCTGGGGAAACAACTTTTTTTTTTAAATATGGAAGCTTGTCCGTTCATAGGACTGCGTTACGGGCATTACTGGGGATATTTTCCAGTTTTGTAAAGTGAAAATATCGTGTACATACATGAACCATGCGGACACCCACAAACAGGAGTGTCACCTGCGGTGAAAGTGTGGGGGTGCAGGAATGAGATGACGACATTTGCACGTGTGGGTTTTTCTTTTCTTTTATCAAAATCTTGAGTTACTTCTATACCATAGTTGTTTTTAAATAATTAATCGCACTTGGGGCGTTTTCTAAAAACAGAGCCACAAGGAAACTCCCAGCATACTCTGCGAAGGTCACCTCTGGCAAAGGACAGTTAACCGAGGTGACGTCACCAGGGACGCCGAATCCACGGGAAAGGTGCTCACGTGAGATCGCGACTCCCGGGGCAGCAGGGAGCACAGGGTCTGCCGGTTGCGGTTATGAGCATCGAGATCCACGAAGATGACCGACCACGAGCAGCCCTGGAACGAGAGAGGAGCAGGGACACGTACAAAGCTGGGCACCTGGACTGTCAGGTTTAAGAGGACAGCAAACATGCCGCTGCCTGGCCTCGCCCCGGGCTGACTTGTGGTGAGAGGACAGACCGTTCCCCTGCACATCCTTCCTAGTGGCTGGCAGAGGGAGAGACCTGGACAAATAGGCCAAACAACAGCCAGAATAGCCAGATCCACCGTTTCACTTCCTTACTCATAAATAGCCTATTTACATTGTGCCTTTAAATTTCAACTCAAGGCAGACTTGCATGCTATGGCAATTAACTCCCTAATGGTCAGCCTTTCTTAAACGCAGACCAGCTTGCCCGCCCGCTGTGCCTGATGGCTGGGCCTCGTTCTGAGCAGCAAAAGGTTGCCGGTTCGATTCCTAGGCATCAGGGCACATGCCAGGGTTGTGGGCTCCCGCCCCAGTAGGGGGCGTGCAGGAGGCAGTCAATCCATGTTTCATTCTCACATCGATGTTTCCTCTCTCGCCCTCTCCCTTGCTCTCTCAAAATCAATTGGAAAATCTTTAAAAAATAAATAAATAAAACCGGCCATGCTTTCGGCACATGGCCCAGGTTTACAGGAGGGTAACAATCCCCCACGGCCACAGGCAGCGATTCGCATCCAGAAGCGACTTTTTAAAAACATCACTGGGGAGCAAGTGCCTGTGGAGGCAATTATCACCTGCTCAGAGGCTCAGACACACTGTTCAAAGGGAGGGAGGCTGTGCCTTCTTTGAACGCTCTGCATCACATGAGCAGTCCCCCTCAGCGCCTTCAGAGGGGAGGGGCCTCGGCGGGGTGGGCATGGCGCCTCTCCCGGGAAGGCAGGAGAGGGAGGGAATGCTTTCGCCCACGAGAGAGGACGTGCGGGCAGTGGGTGACGGGCTGCCACATGAGCGCCCAGGATGCGTGCTGCGCCCCTTGCCCAGTCCCTTCCTGTCGCCTCGCTCTTCATCCTTCCCGTCACACCGGCCACCCCCAGGGGAAGTGGGGGGAGGGAAGAGGTGCCCTCAGGGAGGGGGAGGTCGCTGGGTACCACAGGACCTTCCTTACACTCACCGCGTGGGGCCCGTAGCATGGTCATTGCCACGACAGAAACCTCCGCATTTGGCACCTCCGTCTAACCCCCTCCACTGCCTGTACCGACCTAGCGCTTCCATAGCTTGGGGTTCGTTGCAATATCAGCCGGAAGCCCCCTTTCGTCCGTGTTAGAAATCTCTACAAACGTCGCTAAGTAGAATGAGCCTCCTTCCTGTGGTCTCAGAAGGACGCGGTCTCAGGTCCCACCCTTTCCGCCAGCAGCTTGATCCGTGGCTGCTAGACGCAGGAACTGACTAGTGACCCTGTGAGCATGCCCACCGATGTCTCTCTCACATCAGGGTTTCTATCTCTCCCTCTCCTTCCCTCTCTCTCTAAAATCAATAAAAATATATAGTTTTTAAGAAGGCAATGAGAATCCTGCACTAAAAGGTTTTTAAAATTAAGCAATGTTCTTTAGTTAGGAAACTAAGATTTAGCTGCTGCAGGCAGGGCAGCCTGTTGGGCCGTGCGACATAAATTTCAGACGCTCTGTGATACTGAGGAGTGACGTGGCTAATGAGTGGCCGAATTAATTAAGCAGGTAATTGAAAACACAATCGGCGCGGGCTGCTGCTGTGTGTGTTTACCTGATTGCCGAAGAGGTTGAATCCATTAATTGCTTCCAGAGCTGCTTTGGCTAAGCCCACCGAGCTGGAAGGGAAAGGAACACTTCATAACTCTGCCACGTCGGCTACAAAACGAGAGCCATCGTCTGATGAACATTCACAGCCAGTGTCCTCATGAACACTTATAACGATTTCCGGGAGGAGAGGAAGGCTGAGGGACTTCAGAATGGCGTGCCGCTGTTTTAATCTTCCTCTCTGGTCGCCAGTGACCTCTGGGGAAGGGGATGTTCCTAAGTTCCCCTTGACGTGGACAAGGGGCCAGAGGACGGGTGGGGGCAGCCTGAGCTCGGGCTGCACTGACGGTCACTGGCCCAGGAGGGAAGGTGAGCTCAGAGGAGGCTGCTGGGAGGAGCGGTGCGGTCACCACCAGCTGGGCACCGTCACCACCAGCTGGGCACCGTCACCACCAGGCTGGGCACCAGTCACCACCAGACTGGGCACCGGTCACCACCAGCTGGGCACCGTCACCACCAGGCTGGGCACCGGTCACCACCAGCTGGGCACCGTCACCACCAGCCGGGCACCATCACCACCAGCTGAGCACCGTCAGTCCAGAACAACACAGAAGAGCTGCCTGACGTCACCCGAGCCCGGAAGAGCTCTCTCGCATCATACATGGACCAGAGGGCGTGGCCTCCGCACCGCCAAGCCCCCACTCGGCACGTCCGTGTCCCCAGCACGGCTGACCGGCCGGCCCCTCGTCCGCCCCGACAGGCTTCTCTCTGTGAAACCATGTGCGCTCCTCCGCCGCGTACAATGGTGCTCAGAAACGGGGAGACGCCGATTCCATTAAAAATAGGACACTGTCATCTTATAAATAGCAACCTTAAAGCATTTAGACTTCACATCCAGCCTATTTCACTTACTGCAACTTTCTTCTGAGAGCAACTGCGCGCGCCATGAATACTGAGCAAAATTAATGATCTGTCCTCGCTCACCCGTCTCCCAGGCAGAGAACAAAGCGGCCGGAGCAGCAGCCCGGCGGGGAGCTGGCAGCAGTGCCAGTCCTCCCTCCCACACCTCCTCTTCCTTCCCTTCCCCCTCCCTCCCCACCTTCTCTCCCTTCCCTTTCCCCTTCTCTCCTTCCCCCCTCTTCCCTCCTCCTCCTCCCCCTCCTTCCTCCCCGGAGAGGCCATGAACGTGACACCTCTCCAGTAAGGTGCTCCGCACCACAGGGAGGTGACGGGATGGGAAACGCACGCTGCGTGGACGGGAAGGGGAGCCGCCACCTGCCCTGAGCCTCGCTAAAAGCTGGCCTCCTGGGCATACGTTTAGTGTCTGAGAGGCACAGGAGGCACTAAGGTTACCTCCCTCACCCCACGGAGCGGGGGGATTCATCCACCATTAACCGCAGTCGGCAGCCACTGTGGCTGCCTCAGACCCACAGCCCCGCTCCGGGCGCTCGCACCTCTTCCAGAAAACAGCGACCGACCGACCGACCGGCCGACCGACCGCTCCTCTGGATGCGAGAGGTCTGACCTGCCGGTTAGGGTGAAGCTGGCCCTGTGGGCAGAGGGACGCACCACACAGCGTGCGCGCTGGGGTTCGGCGGTGCCGTGGACCTGACTTTCAGAGAGCGTCACCGCCCTGCGGGGAGGAGGGCAGCCGGGCCAGCCAGCTCCCGGGGGGCCTGCGAGCCGCTCCTCCCGCAGCTGCCGGGCGGGGAGCCGCTCTGCAGCTCTGATTTGAAGTGAATTTCATTGGCATCACGTACAGGGGAGAGCAGGTGGACATTAGCATAGCAGGCACAGCGCCAGTCCGACACTCGGATTGTGATTCATATTCAGACTCTCACGGTAAAATGAATGAGAACCGCCCAGCAAGCAGCCAGTTACCTGGAATGCAGCTCCGTGCTGCCGTTGTTGTACTTGCTGCCTCTCTCCCAGACCCCGAAGTCAGGCACCCGATAAACTCTCTCTACACAGAACACCAGGTTCTGGATAAAAGAGACCTGGAGGGAAGGAAAGGGAACGTGAGCACACGCGCAGCAGCAGGTGCTCAGGCGCCGGCAGGAACGGTGACGCTCGTGGGGACGCAGCCCTCCGGGACACGACCGATCACCGTGAGCACGGACCTCAGCCTCCAGCGGGAGCCAACACTGCTCCACCCAGAGAAAGAGCTGACGCCCGTCAGCCCCGCCACACTCCTCGGGGAGGGTGTGAGGGCATCTCGGGAACGAAGACAAACAAAAAGCACCGTTTCACAGAGGATAACGTTTGGGATCACAAACGCCCACATGAGATGTTAATATTCTAGCACCTCAAGAATAAGAGTCTGTGCTCCCACCGAGACCGGTGTGGCTCAGTGGATAGAGCGTTGGCTTGGGGACTGAAGGGTCCTGGGTTCGATTCCGGTCAAGGGCATGTACCTTGGTGGCGGGCACATCCCCAGTAGGGGGTGTGCAAGAGGCAGCTGATCGATGACGCTCTCTCATCGATGTTTCTAACTATCTCTCTCCCTTCCTCTCTGTACAAAATCAATACAATATATATATATTTTTTTTAGAAAGTCTGTGCTCCCTCTGTGTGTGCCGTCTCAATAAGAGCCGTGCCTGGCTGGGCCCAGCTGAAAGCGTGTCGCGGGCGTGTCCGTGTGCATCCGGCATTGCCGCCCGTGAAAGAAACGCTCCCCAACTCTGGGCAGTCAGGGCGGGAATTCCGTCCCAATGCCCGAGAAGAATAAGAGCGTGCTATCTCTCTTTGAAAAACATCAGAAACCCTGCTGAGAGGCCGTGCAGATGGAAATAATACAATATGACAAAAGCATCTCTCTACTCTTAAAGGGACGGGTCCCAAAAAGGAATGAAGCAAAAAAAAAAAACAACCCACAAATAATAACAGAGAAAACCTGCAAATGCTACTTTACTTTCTTTTGTTACTAAAATATCCTGAAAGCTTCAATTTCAGATCGCCTTAAACAGAGCCTTCATAGGAGAACAATTTTATAACTTGCTATATGATTATTCATTTTCAAAGTGCTGTGCACTGACACTTTTATATCTAATATCCCAAATCCAATCTCTGATGATATGAAATGAAGAATAATCCATTTTTTATTAAACAAAAATCAAGTTTTAAGAAGTAAGATAAGAGAGGTCCTTGGAGATGAAATTCAGCGCTTAAGAATATGAGGAGCCTGACTGGTGTGGCTCAGTAGCTGAGCGTCGACCTAGGAACCAGGAGGTCATGGTTCGATTCCCGGTCGGGGCACAGGCCCAGCTTGTGGGCTCAATCCCCCGTGGGGAGCGTGCAGGAGGCAGCCGATCGTGATTCCCTCATCACTGATGTTTCGCTCCCTCCCTCTCCCTTCCTCTCTGAGTCAATAAACACGTTTCAAAAGGAGCTGGAGGGCGAGTACCTCGTCAGTGTTGTAGATGATCTGCAGCCCCGAGGAAATCATCTCCACCAGGTAGAGCAGGTAGAGGGACACGGCGTTGATCTGGAACACACAGCACCGTGCGCGTTACGATAGACAACAGAGATGCGTTACCCAGTTAAAGGTCAAAGCCACGGGGCCCATCCTCTGCTCTCGTGCGGCTCTAAGCAGAGTCCTTCCTGCCGTGACCAGAAGGAGCTGTGGATCTGGCCCCTGAGGGCAAACTCCAGCACCCTCAGGTCCGCTGCGGGGTCACACCGGGCCGGGGCGGCAGCCGCAGGGGGGCCTCGGGGCAGCGGCCACAGGGGGGCCTCGGGGCAGGTGTATCTAGAGCAGTGTTTTCAGACTCAAACCGAGGGCTAAAACTATTATATATAAAAACTTGCACTGGAATAGTTCTGCCCCAAAAGTAACTTTGTCACGTCGACCCTCTCGAACGCATGCGCGTCCGGTGCAATGGGGACACGGCCACCACGGACAGAGAACACGGAGCTCACGGCAGCATCGGCAGCACCTGTTCATGTCGCTGGACGCTCTAGCAGAGCCTTTAAAAGCTATGTGCGTACCTTAATCGATAAAGAAATTTTTAAAAAATAAAATATGCAGAATAATGTCTAAATAAATAATAAATAATGAAAGCTACGTGCGAACAAACGGTCTGTAAGCAAACGCGTTTCCTTCTTTGGGTTTACCAGCTGACTGCAGACAGGCGAGACAGCAGGGCCTCAGCCGGGTGCAGGTGGCCGCACAGAAAGGAGCAGGGCCCTGGGCTTAGGAATTTCGATGGGCGGGGCTTCTCCGGGGCCTGTCTCAGAGCTCATGGAGCAAAGGGCTCATCCCACAGCCAGGCCCCAAATACCTATCCCAGCACCGACACTGGCCGGCAGGATCGGCTTCAGAGAGGTGTCATTCCCACGGTCAGCCACTGAGGGGACCCCTCCAGGAGCCCTCCGCTCTGACCTTTGGGGTGCTCTGTGAGAAAGGTCAGTGAGTGGCACATTGTAAAGGGCCCGCCAAGTGGCTGGTGACCAGCACTTACTGAACACCTACTCTGTGCCCAGCACGGGGCTTCAGCTCTGGGATACAAACATACACGAGCTGGGAACGTCTGAAAACCCTACTTTAAGTAGGAAACTCCTGTCAAAGCAAGAGGTGCCTAGAACCAATTATGTGACAGCCCTAGGACCGTGGTGGGCAAACTGCGGCTCACGAGCCACATGCGGCTCTTTGGCCCCTTGAGTGTGGCTCTTCCACAAAACACCACGGCCTGGGCGAGTCTATTTTGAAGAAGTGGCGTTAGGAGAAGTTTAAGGTTAAAAAACGTGGCTCTCCGAAGAAATGTCCATTGTTGTGCTGTTGATACTGGGCTCTGTGGACTGATGAGTTTGCAGACCGCTGGCCTAGGAGAAGGCTGAGAAATAACACGGGCATATAGCTGCGTCCCATGGACTTGTGGTCACAGATAAGTACAGGAGTTGGCGCTGCACAGAAATGAGGACACCGCACCGCGTTTGGAGGAGTCACCCGAGAGCGAGACTTTTCTGATGGTTGGGAAGAGAGGAACTATAAGGAGATGATCTTATTTTAGCATCAGATAATGGGCAATCCGCACTCTGCCCTGCAGCCGGAGGGTGGGAGGAGAGGCAAGAAGGAAGCGCTAAGGATGACGGGTATGGATCTGTGTCCTGGGGCAGGCATCAGGAGTCCAGCTGGGAGCAGCGGGAGCTGGGCAGGCAGAGCATAAAACCCTGCAGGGGTCCTCAGCCCAGCCCAGAGCTAATACGTTACGAAGACAAACGCACAGGCTCCGGAGCCTCCGCAGGGTCATTGGGGGAACACTCTTGCTCTGTGGGAAGCCGACACATTAAAAACGAGCTGCTGTGGAACAGGAGCTTCTGATCCGCCGTGACGGCCCTGCCGACAGTCTTACTCCCTGGTTCCTAAGCGTCGAAACTCAAGTTCGATGACAAGTACAAGCTTTAGCCACGAAAAAGCTGTAAGATGTGCCCGGCTGACGTGGCTCAGGGGTTGAGCGTCGACCTCTGAACCAGCAGGTCACGGTTCCATTCTCTGGTCGGGGCACATGCCCGGGTTGCCTGCTCAACAACCCCCAGGGGGCAGTGGGAGGGCAGGAGGCGGCCAATCAATGAATCTCCCTCATCATGGATGTTCCTGCCTCTCCCTCTCTCCCCTCCTCTCTGAGATCGGGGAAGACATATAAAAACAGCTTTTGAAAACCCGTGTGCTCCTCCTTTGGATGATCCTGACATCACAGCCTTTGCAGCCGCCCTCTTGCCTGTGGGCCAAGGAGTCGGCCAGACTCGACATTCAGCCACCATGACTCACTCGGCCCCGGCGGCTCCCGGCCCCCCCTCGTCACGGCTGCTGCCCTTCACCTGTGAACACCCGAGGTCACCGTGGACCACAGCCCTCCGTGCGGCAGGGCGGGCCGCCGGGGCAGGCGTGTGCTCACCTGCAGGTGCCCGTACTCCCCGTAGGACAGGACCTCGTCCCCGGTGCGCACGTCGAACACGGAGTGCAGGCAGGTGGCCGGGCGCGGGTCCTGCTTGAACTGCTGGACCTGAAACGACACGCGACGTGCACACAGCGCTGGCCGTGCACGTCCGGGCCGAGCTGCGGCTCCTCACAGACCCTGAGCCATCTCTCGTGACAGGTTCGGCTGAGGAAAGCTCCCGCTTGTAGGCAGAGGGCGGGACAAGGCAGAGAGAGACGTGACTTTTTCTGAAGAAACACAACAGGCAGAACCGTGGCTGCTGCCTGACCGGCGTTCCCGGCCGTGGACACCTGGTGGGACTTATAAACCCAGCAGCGAGGTAGCAGGGAGCTCGCCAATGTCCTACCACCGGCTTCTGAAGGCCCTGCGTCTCATCAGAGTCCAGTAGCGGCTTCCCCTGCGGTCAGGGCCATCACTTCGTGTCCCACTGACAATTGTGGAAGCACTTACGTGACACTTACAGTGACAGCGCGCTGGGGGCCGTGGGCCAATTCAGCGAGCGCCCGAACGGAAATGCTGCTTCCTTCTCCGAGGGCGCGAACGCAGCCCGGGCTCCTGTCCGCCTGGCTCCTTCCCTCCCACCCGCCCCCCTCTCTCAGGCGACAGCTCCAGGGAACAGGCCACGCCTTCCCTTGCTCATTGACATCCACGCTCACGGCTCAGAACACCAAGGAAACACTGAATGCTCCCGCAGGCCCGCTCCGAGCACAACAAAACCCTTCCCCTCGTCTCCTCCTATTCAAGTCAACTTGGCAAACACTGACTGGTGCCAACTGAATGCCAGCTGCGGGGCGGGTCCCCAGAAGCACCCTGGGACATGCGCGGAGGATGAACGGATGGCACGTGACCCAGTGGAAAAGCAACTGAAAAGACGCGAGAGAGCCGGGCCAGTGAAGATCAGAGGTTGAGCGTCGACCTAGGAACCAGGAGGTCACAGTTCGATTCCCGGTCAGGGCACATGCCGGGCTGTGGGCTCCATCCCCAGTGGGGGGGGCGTGCAGGAGGCAGCGGGTCCATGATGCTCTCTCATCACTGATGTTTCTCTCTCTCTCCCTGCCTCTTCCTCTCTGAAATCAATATAAACACGTTTTTTTTAAAAACATTATTCAGACCCTAACTGCTGGTGGCCACACAGGCAGACACCGTGTGGTCACCCCTTCCACACACCGCGATTATCATCTCAAACATTGCTCTGGGAGCAAAGATTAAACCCTGGTGACAGTGAAACAAAACCCATCCTGCCTCCTGGATACGGATCTGCCGAAGGAGCTGGTCTGATCTGCCTAATAAAGTGGCTGAGGCAGCTGCCGGGCGGCGCCTGTCATTTGTCTCCGAGACGCAGGGCCCCGGCGGGAGGTTTACGTTCAATCATCACATTCGGGGAGGGGGACGGGGGGAGGCAACGGCTAACCGACTCACGATGCTCAAACGGAACATTCCGGGCCTGCGCTCTCAGTCCGAGAGCCGCTAAAGGACGAGTGATTTAACATTTCAGAGAAAAAGCAGGGCCCACACTCTATAAGCGTCGGAATGGAATGGGGTGAACTGGACGTGAATTACTGACGAAAGCACTCCTGAAAGCAGGCAAAATCAAGGAGACATCAGCCCGTGCTTCGTGGGGTCTGACATCCGGCAAGTAAAAGGAAGGGATGATTGACACGACATTTGCTAGACTGAGAAAATCTAGAGCCTGCTGAGACCAGTTTGGCTCAGTGGATAGAGTGTCGGCTTGGGGACTGAAGGGACCCGGGTTCGATTCTGGTCAAGGGCATGTACCTTGGTTGCGGGCACATCCCCAATAGGGGGTGTGCAGGAGGCAGCTGATTGATGACTCTCTCTCATTGATGTTTCTAATTCTCTATCTCTCCCCCTTCCTCTCTGTACAAAATCAATAAAATCTATATTAAAAAAAAAAAAATCTAGAGCCTGAGCTGGTCTCGCTCAGTGGTTAGTGTCGGCCCGCAGACCGAAGCATAGCAAATCTGATTCCCAGTCAAGGGCACGTACCTCGGGCCGAGATCAGGGTGCATGTGGGAGGCAACCAATCAATGTCTCTCAAATCGATGTCCTCTCTCTCTCTCTCTCTTCCTTCTCTTCCATCCTCTCTAAAAGTCAATGGAGCAGAAACCGGCGTGGCTCAGTGGATAGACTGTCGCCCTGTAGACTGAAGGGTCCCAGGTTCGATTCCGGTCAAGGGCATGTACCTTGATTGCGGGCACATCCCCAGTAGGGGGTGTGCAGGAGGCAGCTGGTCCATGTTTCTAACTCTCTATCCTTCTCCCTTCCTGTCTGTAAAATATCAATAAAATATATTTTTAAAATAAATAAATAAAAATCAATGGGGAAATATCCTCAGGTAAAAAAGATTTTTAAAAATCTAGATGAATGTTTTCTCTGTTTCTACTTTATTTGGCTTTTCTGAAAACGTACGTCGTTGTAACTAAGCTCTGACAGGTGTGAGACAAGAAGGCTCACAGCAGGAAAATGCCTAAAAGCTGTAAGCCCCTGTGCGGGGTGTGCAGACACCCAGTCCCAACGCCATCGCACGCTTACAGCGCACGGGTTTCAATGACCGAAGGGCTCAGGGGCCTGGGAGTCACACCCGAGCTGCCCTCGCCGGACACCGGCCTGAGGAGCCGGGCGGGGAGGGTGAAGC